GAAGTTGCCTCTCTAGAATTCTTGTTGTGAACATTCAAGGTTTTGCATCACTGCTCACCCTCAGCTATTCAATCAGATATTAAATCACATCTCTAGACTCCTTCCCAGCAAATAAAAGCTGACCATACCTGCTTTTTTCTTTACTTCTCACCACTTAAAGATTATCAGGTATGAATTCTAGCCTCAATCTATCAATTAATGAGATTTCTTTTTGAGTTGGAGTCTCACTCTGTTGCCCAGGCTGGAGTGCAGTGGCACGCTCATAGCCACTGCAGCCTCAACTTACTGGGCTCAGGTGATCCTTCCACCTCAGCCTTCCAAGTAGCTGGAATTACAGGCACATGCCACCATGTCCGGCTAATTTTTTTTTTTAATTTATTGTAGAGATGAGGGCTTGCCAAATTGCCCAGGCAGGACTTGAACCTGTGGAGCTCAGGCAATCCTCTCACCTCGGTCTCCCAAAGTGCTGGGATTATAGAAGTGAGCCACCGAACCCAGCCTCAATTAATGAGATTTCATGCAAATCTCCTAAAACCTCTCTGTGCCATAGTTTCCTCCTTAACTGTAACGTAAATGCATATGACACCCAGTGCCCTACCTATCCCACAAGATATTGGGCAGAGGAAAGGATTCATCTATTACTAGAGTTCTGTGGGGGAAAAGTTAAAAGGACTAAATCCACTTCAGGTATCACTTCCCGACATTTATCCTGATTTTCCTGCCCACCACTCTATAGTTTACAGAGCCCATACTTGATCATATTAAACATTCACAACCTGTAGATGGCAGGTTGCAAGGCTGGAAAGGGCTACGACCCCAAACAAACCCAGCTCTTTGGACTCTTCTAGTGCTCTTTCCAATATTCAACAGCTTGCTTCCAGATCCCTACAACCTAATCTGTCTTGGGCACAATCCAATCTATTTTGTTTTCTAAACTGAGACTTGCAGTTCAGTTTAAATGACCAGCAAACTTCCTGCTAAAAACACCCCCACAGCCTTAAAGAGGCACGTGCACAGAGATGTATTGATGTGCATGAGGAAAATATGTGAGTGTACTCAAAATAGCATTTAATGTTAGCAAAAATAATTATTGAACCTTACTAATACTAATGACCCAGCATTCTTGCTCAGCATCTGTGTCAGCAGTCATCACATGCAGTATGTGAGGAGTTTCCAGGAACCAGAAGTAATACCACAATTGATACTTGTTTTCCTCGTAATGTATGCCATCCACTGGACAAGTCAGCTAATTGTTGCAAATTTTTTTTTTTTTTTGAGTTGAAGTCTCACTCTGTCGCCCAGACTGGAGTGCAGTGGCCGCTCCCGGCCACCGCAGCCTCGACCTGCTGGGCTCCGGCGATCCTTCCACCTCAGCCTTCCGAGTAGCCGGAATTACAGGAGCACGCTACCACGCCTGGCTGATTTTTTGATTTATTGTAGAGATGAGGTCCCGCCAAGTTGCCCATGCGGGTCTCGAACCTGTGGGCTCAGGCAATCCACTCACCTCAGCCTCCCAAAGGCGCGGGATTACAGGCTGAGCCACCGAGCCCGGCTAATTGTTGCAAATTTTAGTTTTTTGTATGACACGGAGAATGACCACGAACATCTTTGCTCTGCAGTTTGACAGTATCATGGGAGTAGGTGTATATTTTTATTTCACAGTGTTCTATGATGAAAAATGGCTGTCAAGAGTAGGCACTTACTTTCAAAAATAAACAAATAACAATAAACCCACTTAATCTGTCCCTTTAAGATGAATATGACAGTCTATTGATCAGTGAGAAAATCATGCTTTTCTTTTTTTTTTTTTTTTTTTTGAGTTGGAGCCTCACTCTGTCACCCAGACTGAGTGCAGTGGCTGCTCCCGGCCACTGCAGCCTCGGCCTGCTGGGCTCCAGCGATCCTTCCACCTCCACCTTCCAAGTAGCTGGAGCTACAGGCGCGTGCTACCATGCCCGGCTAATTTTTTTTTTAATTGTAGAGATGAGGTCTCGCCAAGTTGCCCAGGTGGGTCTCGAACCCGCGGGCTCACGCAATCCACTTGCCTCAGCCTCCCAAAGCGCTGGGATTACAGGCTGAGCCACCAAGCCCAGCCTCATGCTTTTCTAAATAAACACATGCTTAATAGAGAAAGCATTTTTTGAATGAATGACTGGAAATAGTTCCAATATTGTGATTTTTAAAAATTACCCAAAACGATGTGTTTCACCTATGAAAACCTTTGCACAATTGAAAAACCAGGAAATAGAATTTTAAAATCTATTTTTTAAATCTAAATGAAATTTCTCAATAGTTTGAACCCATTTGTCAGGAATATAAAAAGGTAACACCTTCCAGTCTTTCAAGAAGAATTAAGATGTAAATTTACAAGTTGAATTTCAATTAAAAGCCTTTCATCATTGGTGAATGGGATTGGAAAATGAGTATCATGATTTAATAAATGCAATCAAGCATACACATCCGTTTGAATCTACCTCTTTAACAAGAATCTTTTCGTTACAACAGTCACTTTCAGTAAAAAGTATATTTTAAATGTACTTCATCTTAATTTCAATCTTTTAATATTTCTACATTAGGGCAGGTTTTCTAGGGTATATAATAAAATACATGTAAACAACTGTTTTAAAAATATTAAATACAGTATGTTAAGAAAACATTTTAAAACGTTTGGCAACCACTGGTCTATCACCACACCAATCCCCATTTGAGAGCACAATGTTTGCAGGTAGCATGGAAAGACACAATAACATCAGCAACACTTGACTGTGCTTTAGATGCAGGGTGGATCACTTGTTTTGGGGAGTTCTGGCCTAGGGGCTGGTGGAGATGGGGTGAAGTCAGCCTACTTTGCTTTTTTTTTTGAGTCGGAGTCTCACTTTTTTTTTTTTTTTTTGAGTGGGAGCGGCACACTGCTCACGGCCACCGCAGCCTCGACCTGCTGGGCTCAGGCGAAACTTTCTTCCGCCTCTGCCTCCCAAATATCTGGAACTTCAGGCACGCGCCACCATGCCTGGTTAATTTTTTGATTTATTGTAGAGATGAGGGCTTGCCTGGTTGCCCAAGCGGTTCTCAACCCCGTGGCCTCAGGCGATCCTCTCGCCTTAGCCTCCCAAAGTGCTGGGAATTCAGGGCTGAGCCACCGCGCCCGGCTTGTGTCTGATAACACAACTTTAGGGAAAGCTCCTGGTTCACAGTAGGTTTTCAATGGATGCGTATGAGTTTCTTTTTCCTCTTGCTATTTGCATGCCTACCACTTCTAAGACAGGTGGGGTCACTCAGAGCTCACGAATGTGTATGGATACATTTACATATATATATTCCACCCCAGAACAATCCAGGTAGTGTGAAAGGGACAAGAACACATGCAAACACTCCATTGCCGACAGCGTATCTAACCATCGCATTTGCCTGGACAAGAGAACAAAGTTCACTTCCCAGTCCTAGTGAAAAGGTTTCTTTTTTGTTTTAACTATTTTTCATCATAACGCTCGAGACCTTATGTTTAATGTCATGCTGCCCGGGAAGATTTACAAGCTGTGATCCTACGAGAAGGGGTTATGAACATAGAATCGTCCTGGAGAGGCTCTTCCAACGTTCAAAAGCCCTTTGCACCGCCTGAGATTCAGATACCCAAACCACCCCAGAAGGAAACCGCCAAGGATCTTTCCCCACCGTCGGAGGGGTTGGAAGCGGGAAGGGCCACGGCAACGAGAGGAAACAGCAACCAGAACTCCTGACACCACGAAGGAGGCCGCGACAACTGTCTGCAAAATACGATCGGAAAGGAGGTGGCGAGGGGTGGATAAAGCGGCGGCGAGCTAGGCGCGATGCGGGCGAGCGCCCGGAGGTGGCTCCCTCCGCGGCCGGGAAAGGTCGGGAACAAAGGTCGGGGCCGGGCAGAAGTCGGCGCAAGGGAGAAGCGGCGAGGCGGCGGCGGGGCCGGGGTCGCCCGCAGGCCGGGCCACGCCGGGAATCCGGCCGAGCCGGAGACGCCCAGGCCGCGCCGAGGGCCCGGACCGGCGACCCTGGGGCCGCGGAGGGGCCGCGCGGGAGGTCGCGGGGGGCAGGGCGCATAGGCAGGCCCGGCCGGGGCGGGCGGGCCGGCGGGAGCGCGGCCGCGGGACCCGGAGGAAGGGAAGAGAAGGGAGCAGGAGCGAAGGGACAGGGAGGGGAGGGAAGGG